GATGATATATACCTTTTCTATTCGTTTTCTCTTTCTGGGGGTGGAACTCTGTCAGACTATGCTATGGGGCTTCTCTCAAGACCTTCCTCTGCTTGAAAGTTAGAGGATAGGGTGTTAGAGTGATATAGTCATAGGCAGTGCTTATGAAACCCTCCCTGGCCCTATATGCTGGGCTGCCTTCATGCATATTCTATGCTTCTTCTCTATCACGAAGGCCAAGGAGTCAGTAATTTGGGAGAAAGGTGTTCAATTTCCCATATCTATCTGTTCTCTCCTCTTGGAGTTTGTAATGTTGCTGCTGCTGCTGCTGCTTCTTCTTCTTCTTCTTCTTTTTTTCCCTGAGCCTCTGAGTCTCCTGGGATCCAGAGAATACCTAAGGGAAATGTTACATTCTGTTCCCATTTTGGCCAGTCTTTTGCTTGTCCTTTCTGTCTTGGACCTTATCCTTCAACCTGCTATTGTGGATTATGTAGTTCTCTATTCAACCTATCAGGAAATAGGAATCAAATTTACTGTGTTTCCTTTTTCATGTATTCACTTCAGAAATCTTAATCTTTCTACCTCATGATATTGTTTAAAAAATAGTTTTAATATTCCAAGGATGATGTAACCTTACTTATTATTCATCTCTTGGTTTTCAGCATTCATATCTATCTCTGCAAGTTAATTTTTATTTACCATCTCATTTTCCTTTATATTTTAGTAATGTGAGCAAAAAACATCATTTAATAACACTGGAAAAGCTTTATTTCAACCCGCTCCCACGGATGCAACCTTCTTCACATTTCCAGTAAAGTCTTAAAGCTTTATTTCTCAGGATGAGCAGTGATTACAAGGATTGCTCTACCCTTACCCTGTCAAGACAGCATTTGGAAGGTGACGAAAGTAGACCTGTAGGTGTGGACGGCCTTGGAGAGGTAGTCACTTCTAGGTGCTCTGAAGATGCAGTGGATAGAAGGCAAACTTAATTTATAGCAGAATCCCCAGATGGGGCCAAGATCAGGTAGAATGTGTTTGGAAACTCAATATTAGCCCCACTTTCCTTAACGTCTTCTCATTGGACATGGCCTTGTGATCAGAGGGGAGTGGACAGCTTCCCAGGCCTCACACCTATACTAAGTAAACTTAGTGTCCCACAGTGTCTAAGCTCAAGGCAAGGCCCCAGGGATTTTTAACAGTGTTCTGTGTAGGGTTGGGGAAAACCATATGGAATGAGCATGAGGCAGAGAGTGAGAAATAGAGAAGACAATTGAAGTCAGTGGAAAAGACCCTGAATTTTTTATATGTAGGAAGAGGATAAATAATGAAAAACTTGACCACTTCTGAAATACTCACTGAGTCCTAAACTAGTATTTCAGTAGCACTCAAGCTTCTTTTCAATCTTATTTACCTTTCTCATAAAAACAGTGTCAGATAATAACATCCCTATTAAATGAATGAGCATCCTGGATCACCAAGCATGTCCATTGCTGTGTAGACTTAGTTGTTATGCAATAAGTAGAAAATCTTGCTGAATATCTGTATGTTGACCTAGATCAACTATTGTCTTAAGAATTTCCAATAATCTTAATTCCTTCTTAGTTCTGTAGCCAGAGTTTTACCACAATTGCAACTAAACTCTACTCTAGTTTCTGCCAATATAATTATGTTATCTGTAGGAAAAAGTCAGTAGTTCTGACAATTTTAATTCTTGTGTTTACTGACTGAACTGCCTTCTGAATCATAGGTTCCCAAATCAAGTCAAACAGGTTAGAAAACAAGTTACATTTTAGTGTCACACCTACTCTTAATCTTAACTGAGTATGGGAATACATCAGCCACTTTCACTGTATTAACTAGTTCATTTCTGAATCCTCATTACTTTACCTATTTTTATTTTTTAATTTTGGATACTACCTAAATTCTCCCATGCCTTTTAAGGGTAACAAACATATAAAGTTACATAGTTAAAAATACTCATATCCCGCCCTGGCCGGTTTGGCTCAGCGGTTAGAGCGTCGGCCTGCGGTCCGGAGAGACCCGGGTTCGGTTCCTGCTAAGGGCATGTACCTCGGTTGCAGTTTGTCCCCGGCCCTGGTTGGTCGTGCGGGTGGCAGCCACTCGATGTGTCCCTTTCACATCGATGTTTCTCTCTCTCTCTCTATCTCTTCCTCTATCTCCCTCCCACTGTATCTGTACAAAAAATGGAAAAATGTCCTCAGGTGAGGATGAAAAAAAAAACCAAAAAACTCATATCCTTACCCATCCCTTTGAGAATCTGCATGATGGATTCTTCTAATTGTATAGAGACAGTAATGCTATCTGACCATAAGCCAGAATATGCATCATTCAATCAAGAGAAGAAATAAATATTTTCTTGATTTATGATTTCTAAATAAATGATTTAGCCATTTTAGTTGCTATTATCTTTGTGCGTGCTGCCCAAAAGCATGGCCTTTTCTAGAAGGACCATAGAGAGTACAAGAGTTGGGTGGTACAGAACCATTGGGTCTTTAACCCATCCAGAACTTGAGTCCCACCTACTGCATCTCCTTCATGTTACCTCTGCTCAAACACCTTATAGGAAGTTCAGCCTTTTTCACCTTTGGATCCAAAGACTCTGCCACATAGTAGTTATTTCACTATTTAAAGACCTCTATCACTTGTTATCTAAATTTTCTCTTTTCCACTTTCAACAAAGAGTTCCTTCAACCCATAATTCATAGTACACTTTCAAGTCCCCTTTCACCTTCTTGACTGTTCTTCTCTGGGAAGCTCTACTATGTAATTATCCCTCTTAAACTTGGATACCTAAAAGTGAACACAAAAAGCATTCCCTGGGCTTACCTTTGGGACTAGGGGTGTGACATTTCCTAGAGCCATGTGAAGACCTGAGGAATGTTAGCACATCTGTTTCAGGTTACAGAATGTAGATAAAAGTGAGTTAATAAGAGAAAGTCTTTAAAATTTAAAAATATTCTCATGAGGTTCTTAAGAATTTAGGATTGTTTGAGAGACTCAACTGATCTGCTAATACTGATAATTTCAGGGCATGTTAAGAGAAAGAATAGATACACCCTGAGCATCTGAAGCATCTCCATTCAAAAAGCATTTATTGGATGCTTGTATAAATCAGGAACTGTCAAATTTTAGAAATACAAAGATCTATATAATGAGATTTTACCCTTGAGGAACTCACAGACTAATAGGAAAGACAGCAGTAAACAGTCAGTTCTAGTTCAGTGTGACCAGCAGCTTGGTGGAGGAATGTTCAAGGCACCGTGAAAGTAGAGGGCTTGGTGTGGAGGTGCCCTCTTCTCCAGTTGTACATCTCTCAGCACAGTGTTCTTTTAGCTCCTGCATATGGACATTGTTTATGTGAAATGTGTTCTAGACACTGCTTGAAGGGGCTTATGTATGGCATCGTATTTATGTAAGTCAACTTCTTAGAGGTTGATCCTGTCATGGACCCCATAAAAATGGGGAAAATGGGCAGAGATTGTCAGCCTTTAAAATAATAACTTTAAAAAATACTTACAAACATTTATACTAAGAAGAAATGGCTTAGTATGGGCAAAACTACTGGACCAAGACCATAAGTATCTAGTTAAGTGTATTTTGTCACTTGTAAAATTGAGAAAATATTGCCTTCTTTGTGTACCTTTGTGGATTTCTAGGATCTGAGGAGGCTCTGTCAGCGTTTGAGGAAATAGTGCATAAGAAAGCCCTGTACAAGAATTATCAGAAATCCTTGGAGTCCATGGGGTGGAAATACTTCTGTGGGTTACAAAACTTTGTTAACAAGGATACAATCCCCAAGTGGTCTCTGTCCCTTGTTTACCCTGTCTTCCTTGTCAGCGCCCCACCCCTTTCTTGTGACCCTCCTATTTCTGTTGTTGGTTCCCAGTATTTGCTGGATGAACTAAACCGTTTTTTACAAGTTATTTTTCTTAATTTTAAAAAACAATATTAGCATCTCTTACCACATTACACCAGATTTAAGGCAGCTAATTTAAATTCCATTTTTTGATTCATACACTTTTACACAAGCATTTAACAGTTTGGGGAGTTATTCCGAATACCACCTCCTTCTTCAAAATGAGTAACTGACATTTCAACCTCCCCTCCCTGCCTTCCATTCAATCTCTAAGGCACTTGGAAGGAAAATAACTCTAGCATTTGTTAAATAAATGCAGGTAGTGTCTTTAATCATGGTGGTTGACTGTTTTCTAGATAAGTCGTTGTAGTCTGAAGCCAAACAGGTGTGCACTGTGGTAATTCATCAAATGCATGTAACTCATAAATTTAGTTTACGGAGGTGAGCGTGGCAGCCCATTGACAAGATTTTCCTACCCAACAAACAGCGTCGCAGCGGGGTATGACCGCCTTCCTGGGAGTATTTTTATGGTGATCCACTCCGCAGTGAATCACAGATTAGCCTTCAGGTGTGTGCAGCACACTTCACCGCTGGGGAGCAGCTGGCTTTATTTATTTATTTTGGGGGAATGATCCATTTGGGGCTCTGCGCTGGGGGCGCGGCGGAGGCGGAAGATGCTTGGGTGTCCTGGCTCCTTCTGCGGGGCTCCCACGGGTGGCTGCTGCTCCCTTTCCCATGAGGCCCCGCTCGCGCCTGGGGGAGTGTCCGCGGGTGGGGAAGGGTGGGGAAGGGTGGGCGCCCAGCTCCGCCAGTGCCAGGCTGGGAGGCCGCAGCAAGGTGTCCTGCTCAAGTCCGTCAGTAGGCCGATTTTGTAAAAGTGCTTTTAAGTTTCCCTTTTGGGGGGGGGAGGGGGAGCAGAAGAGGAGCTTTTTCGATGGAAATTCTTTTCCTTGTATGTAGATACCAAAAGGAAACTCAACACTGGGCATGTTCGGATGTTGAATGGTTTGCTGATAAGCAACAGCCTCCCGGAACCAAAGACTTAAAATAGTCGCTCCCCCCCCCCCCCGCAGGAGCTGCAAATGGTATCTGCCAAAGAGATGACAAAGTACCTTGGACCGATTCGCACACAGACAGCATTTTGAGCAGAACGCACGGCCCAACTCTTGTCATTACTGTTTCTAGCTGGCCCGGCGGGCAGAGGGCAGCCCGAGAGGAAGCAAGTTTCCCGAGCCCGGGGTGGCTGTGTGCTCCTGAGAGGCTGCGGGACTTCGCAGACCCGCTCCAAGTTGTCGGATCAGTCCTGGCGCTTCTCCGCGGGCACTGAGCAGCTCATCCAGCTCTTATTTTTTTCTCCCTCTCCCCGTTGTGGTCCTATGGCCTTGAACCTGTGGTGAATTCAAGAAAGGAATGGATATGTCTGACCCCAATTTTTGGACCGTGCTCTCAAACTTTACTTTGCCTCATTTGAGGAGTGGGAACAGGCTGCGGCGAACACAAAGGTAAAAACGCGGGGCGCCTTTGCCGGGAGAGGGCACGCGTTGGCTTCCCAGGCAGCTGGTGATCCGAGCCGCCTGGGCAGCTGGGGTTTTGTTTATTGGGTGACAGTTTGAAAAGTTAATAACCCTGCCAAGGGGGCAGTGTTTCAGGTATTCTCTTCTCGTGGATTTCCAGGGTGATCCTGATGAACGTGCTTCTCGGGGTACTTTTGAAAGTGGATAATACAAGGTTGAGTTGTGAGTGGTGGGGAGAGGAAAAGGGGAGGGGGAAGAGCTATTTCCTCTAAGACTGTTTATTTGATCTGATCATGTTTATCCATTTCATTTACCCAGACATCAGAGCTTCTGCTCCTCTTTCTAGAGCCTTTCAGATGTCCCCTCTATTAAATATTTGACCTTTGTAAGATGCAGATGTCCTATACAAAGAGTTCAAGTTATCCTGTTTTGAATTGTCTGCTTAAAGAGACAGATCTGCATAACTTTGCCTTTGTTTTTTTTGTTTGTTTGTTTGTTTTAACTGATTTGCTGACATTTGTTTCTAATACAGGCTGGCCTTTTCATTTGAGTCTATAGTTGACAGAATAGGTGGGAGGAAAAAAGACTTAAAATCAAGATGAAGCGCAGGCCACAAGTGAAAGGCAGTTTAGAGTTAGTTGCTTGACTCTGGGGTGGAGAGAATGTGATTTTAAAGGGGCTGTTCCTTCTCTCTCCACATTTGTATCCAGCACAGAAAGGGGTGTTATTGTGTTTTTTGAGGGGCACACCCTCTGAACTGTATAAATGCAGATTCTTCTTTTTTCTTCAAAACTTGCCTTGCCTGTACCTGTGAACATGCATGAGAGCAACGGTACAGTCAAATAAACAGGATGCAGGCTATCTGATTCGGAGCTTCATAGTCTTTGTATTGCAGTATTTAAAGAACGCACCAAAAAATGATTCATATTTTTTGGTTATACCTGATACTTTTGGTAGCAAAAATGCAGATATGTAATACTTTGGAAAACTTAGTCATTTGTTTTATTTTTAAATTTCTCCACGGTGTTTCTTACATTTCAGAAGCATTCTGGAATACTCACATATATGTATTTATACATACACACATATACACAGATCAAGCAAATACAAGTGTGTGTTTGTATTTGTGTCTGAGAGAGAGGAAGAAAGATTTATGGGTCATACTTACCTTCTGTTGCAACTTGGACAGTGTTGGTACCACTAAACCATGTTAGATTCTAAAGTTCTACCTTTTAAATAGGGTGACTATGTTTTCCTCATTCTATATATATGTTCAGAGACACTCTTTTGGTGTTGGTTGTTTTGGTTCAAGCTTTGTCATTCATGCACCAATGCCCCCAAACAACAAATCAGTTGAAGAGGTACATGCTGTATACATGAACAAGGCCACTACTCCTCATGGCAGTAAATCTTATAACTTCTGACCTTTTCAGTTTGTCAAGAGCCCTTGAATGTGTGTAGATGGTGTAGTCCTGGCTGTGATGCAGCCTCTCCTCGCTCCTGGAACCAGTTCTTGCAGAGATAAGTCTGCACTGGCATCATGCCTGTGTGTGTAAACCTGAAAAGCAGTTGACTTTCTTCCCTCTACCTACCTGTTGATAGTATTATTGAGAGAGTCAAATGCATGAAGAATTCTCAGGCTGGTTTGACCTCAGCTGTAAGGCAATATCTCTCTAGCCTAGAACACTCCAATTCAGACATCTCTCACTGGCAGAGAGCCTAGGATCTAAAGTAACCTGGGCTCCTCCCAGCAAAATGGGAGAGTAGGGCTTGGAGGGCTGTCTCCACTCCCTGAGTCTTGGACCCTTATCTTTAGTTGAATGAAACAGAGGGAGGGGAATTTTCCTTCCTACCTTTGAACCATAGTGGCTGCCACAGCCTGTTTGTTACCGGGGGATTTCCAAGATTCACAGAGTTTGGAAATTTGTGTCCTGAGGATCATCTGTACATACCCCTACTTATTGTGGGTCTCAAAGGGCCAGTATTGCTTCATGTTTATTATGTAGATTTGGAAAGATGAAGGGCAGATGGCCTCTTCTCCAGGGCAGCGTGTGTAGTTGTTGCATTCCCTTATTATACAGTGATCAATTCCGGCTCGGTGACCTTCCCTAAGGACATGCAGCATATGGTTACAGTGTGGCTCTTCCCCTTCTGTGACCTCCCTTAACTGCTCTAAATTGTGTTTCCTTCTCCAAGGCCCACATTAACCCTGTCCCTTATGTGGCTGATCAGGTTCCCTAAAGCTGTCCTTTCAAAAGGACCTTTCCATTCCCAAGGTGTGTGTCCTCTCCTTTTGCCAGCCTCACTGAGGGCGTGCCAGTGGCCAGGTGAAGATGCTTTGCCCTTCCCTTCCCTTGCCCTCAGTTGGAAGTGATTTATTCCATGGACTATCTCTCCTGCCCAAGCCTCACTTCTTTTTTGCACACTTACTGACTCTTATTTATTTTGCGTGTTGTATCCAGGTGACTTGTTCGATTAACATTGTAATTTAGAGGACTTCATCTCAACCTTTTCTTTAGCATTAGCTTTCTTATGTCTGTCAAAGAGTAAAATATGGCTTTGAGCCTGTGAATGAGCATCTCAGAGCTGTGAGGGATAGGATGTGTATACCACTTATCTTAGGAAAGGAAGAGAGGTCGAATGGTTTCAGACTCTCCTTAAATCTACATTACGGGAGAAATTGCCATCATGGAAGACCTTGGGTTTGCTGCATCCCATCTGCCTTACCAGTTCAGCATGACGCGGGTTTGTTGGCTTCTCCTCTCACAGGAAAACATTAGAGGTTTCTCTTCCAACTCAGAGCCCTACCTGGGCCTACAGCTCTCTGGATTCTTGGGAAAAGATGCCTGCAGACTTACTCCCAGGCCTAGACTCTTACCCAAGACTGATGAACTCAAAGCCTAGGTTCCTTGTGTTGTGTCCCAAAGATTATCTATTGTTCCCGTCATTCTTTTCTGTCTTCACCTTGGCTGACATTGGGTTCTCTGGATGTACATTGACTTTGTCTGCTGTTTTGGTGTAAAGCTCACACATTATATGAGAAAAGTTTCTTTTTTCTGACAGGCTTTGCACTTCTCTCGCCCTCTCTTATTTCCTCAAGGCCGTTTCCACGCAGCCATTCACTTACCTGCGGCTTTGAGGGACAGAATTCTGGGCTGAATGGAATGATTATTTTAACCAAAATTTGTTGTTTTAAACTGAAGTAACAATTGCATGCTTAGAGACTGTAAATGTTATAGGTCTTTGGATAGTCCATTCACTTGAAGAACCCATCACATCTTAGAATGGAAACGCGTTTGCCTCCCTTAATGCTTATAACATCTTTTCTTTTCCCGTTGGATTCAAAACAGGAATTGGGGGGAAGGGGTCAAGCTTCTTTTACTTTCTCTCTCTGTGTCACTCTGTAAAGAAAATGCTACCACTGACTTCTAAATGTTGCTGCTTTGTTTTGAGGTTCACCTTTACTTTTGCTAAAGTACATTCTAGTGAATCTAGAAGATGCTTGATTTTTTTATTTTACTGGTCAGAAATCTGGTATGTTTTCATTGGGCTTAAGTGATCATCTTCCAACCTCAATGAGCTAAATCAATAAAATTCTTCTCTATGCCTGGGAGCAGTGTGTGGCTCAGTAAATAACTGAGCAAGTTTCCAAATATATTTTTCTGAGAACCCATGGGATAAAAGTTTTTTGTTTTGAATTCACATCACTCAGCAGTTACTATGAACAGCAGGTATATTCAGGGATCTTCCAACTAACTGCTGTAGTTGTCAGAATGTATTGGATTTTTATGTACACTGCATCCTTCCTTTACAAACATCTGTAGTGTTTGATGAGTTTTTCTTTTTGTTTTGCTCATGAATATATGTCTTTAAGAAGTATGGGGAATACACTTCTCTCCTGACCTGATATGTCAAGTGTTAGTGAACTTGTACTCACCCCTTTTATGGAAAGCCCAGTTAAAGCATGTTTCTCGAGCACCTGTTGTGTGCCTGGGCCCTAGGCTTGCCTTCAGTGAAGATATGCAAATGAATTATTACAAACTTGGCTGCAGAGAGGTGTTTACAAGGTACACATAAGCCATAGGAGTGGTCCATAGGCAAGAGAGACTTTGGTCTCAAGGAGCCAGGAGACACACCACATAGAAAAGGCAACACCTCAGGGAGATTTTGAAAGGTTGGTTGGTATTTATCATACAGAAGGACAGGGCCTTCCCAAGGGGCAAAAGAAATGGTGTATACAAAGACACAGTGGCCTTGGCAACACAGAGTTCAAAGGGCTATACATAGCTCAGTATTGCTGGAGCACAAAGAACCAGAAGCATAACTCCGTCTTGCTGAAGCATGAAGTTTGAAGAGGTGATATAATATAGCACAATGGTTAAGAGGATTGTTCTGAAGCCAGTTCACCTGGGTTTGAATGATAGAGGCAAGTTAATGTCTTTGGACTTCAGTTGCTCCATCTATAAAATAGGGACAAGTAAACTACTTTTCTCATAAGATTGCTGTAAAGATGAAAATGTGTTGATAGGTGTCAAATGCCTAATGCAATGACTGGCACATAAAAACTCTCAATAAATTCTAACTATTTAATATTGTTACTATCATTACAACAAGGAGGTGAGTGGTGGGCTATGAAGCTGAGGTGGTGAGTTGAGGCACCTTGTATTTGCGGAAGTTTGGCCTTTATCCTTGGGAGAGAGACATGTCTAGCTGCACTGGGAGCTTAAGTCTGGGAGTGGAGGGTGAGACCTAGAAACCAGGTAATAAGTTACTGCGATAGCCTATATAAAGGGTTCTGTAGGCCTGAGCAAAGAATGTAGTGAGATTATGCCTTTGAGAGATATAAAGGTATGAAATTGGCTTTGAGGGATGAAGAAAGATTTGACCATGGCCCTGGGGTTTTTGACTTGAGGAACCAGGAAGATGGAACCCTGTAAGAGTGGGGGAGGGGAAGACACAACGTGTACTGGCTCCTTTCATTCTCAGAA